TGGTGGAGCCAGCATATTGTTTTTAAATGTTTAGCATCTGCTGAACGTCTGTAATTGACAGACCTAACTGCAGATCAATTTTGCAGACTTTATGCAGATATTCTGCAGATAATCTGCAGATAATCTGCAGACATTCCACAGATAATCTGTAGATAGTCTGTAGATTTTTAGCAGAGTGTTTGCAGATCTGTAACAGACTTCTTGGCAGATCTGCAGCAGATCAAAAACAGATCTGCCCGTTTCGTACGGGCAATGCCATTATGTGCATACCTTACTGTGACCATATTTTTCTAGAAATATTTTGACTGAGAGATTATTTCTCACCCAATGTGATTAGTCTGGCAGTGCTGTGACCTTGGTGTAGCCTTTTCCATGCCGTGTGCATGCCATGTTCTGAGTATTTTATTTGATGGAGAGCAAATTCATGTGCAATGAGCATATGCATTGCTGTGCCATGACTGTGTTCCTGTCATGAGCTTTTTAGAGTTATATGGAACTTTTTATTCCACTCTTCCTTCCCATCATGCACTGTGCTCTTAGTTATTTACCATATCTTCTATGGTTTAATTGGGACAAAAATTGATTGGCTGAGCTACTAGTGGTATATTTAAGTGATAGAACTCTATAAGTGAAAAGTGCTGGTTTTTAAAACAAACAATGTGAAAAATAAATAACATGTATTTAAACCTAATTTCAAAATTGTTTGTATTCTTTTGTGGACCAATTAGTAGGTTTATACAAAATCAATAGAACCTCTCGCCCTCATAGCCTTTGACCTCATGGGCTATTGACACATAGACCATGGATAATGGCTACAGGTCTAAGATTGTTAAATATTAACTATATAAATCAAGACTATTCAGGGTGGATGGCAGAAAGCATAACTGGCTTTAATACCCACTTGATAAAGCTGCCGGTAAATCAAATAATTTAGAATGTATGAGTTGATTTTTGAGGAGGAAAAACATGGACACTAAAAAATGTGTCTCTTAAAAATTGATAGAGAATCAGCTTTGGATGTATGAATTTGCTGCTTCATTACCCAACAATGTCAAAACTGATCTATCATAGATGCACATAGCATATTTGTTTAAAATAATCTTTTTAACCATATAATGCAAACATGTAAATTGGAGTTCAAAGGGGATCGAAGCCGAGCTTAGCTCTCCTAGATAAGAACAGGGGGTGGGTGTGAGCTTAGCCAACCCATTTCTGATATCTAACCTTTGGTATCATTTTGGTGTCATTTTGGATATCTGTTTAGTAATAATTACTATTATAGTTATAATAAAATAATAAATAGTGCGTTTGAATTCACCTTTTCTCTACAAAAATGCAGAAAGAAATCGATAATGAATTTTGTTGAGAATAGCGACATATATTAGAAACCGTCCAATGCATTTGTCTCTAATAAAATAATGTATATAAATATTTATTGGCTTCTCTACAGAGTAGCTATTCATCCATCAATGTAATTGGAATTTAGGAGTTGATTATTTTTAAGAGAACCTAGTTAAAAAAAAACTTAAAGCACAGGAGAAGACCAACAAGCAACCTTGAGATTTCGTCATTCCAAATTCAGCTATTCAGCTGCAAGACAGGATAAGATACTCAAAAAAATTTCCCCTACATCTCCTTCAGCTATTTGGATTTCTATTGCTTTTAGCAAAAGACATTGTTATTGTTCCAGTTATCAATCAAGCTGATTCCATCTAATGAACTTCATTACCAGCCTTCAATGAAGAGCTATCTGATTGCTCTTGGTTTTACATCATCAGCATATATTTCTATAGAACACTTGCCATTCAGCTCAAGTAAAGACACCACACTTGACCTAGCTGAAATGAAGTTTAGAAATTTAGAAATCATAGAAGCATAAATTGCCCTATTTCACTATGACGTCACATCAAAACAATCTATTGTTTAAACGCAAAGGATCATGGTCGTCGGAGGGGGTCAAATCAACGCAAATTCACCGAAAATTGTTCTAAAACCCGTATCAATCCACAAAGATTAAACTGTTTCGCTAGGAGCAAATTTTGTTGAATTTTATATTAAATTTGGCGATTCTATCCCTCACATAAACAAGCAGTGACGTCATAGTTAAATAGGGCAATTGATATCATTACTTTTTTATTTCCTTGTTCAGTGATGGCTTCAGCAAGCTGGTGGAAAGAAACAGATGAAAAGATCAACTACACCAAGCTTTGTAGGTTGCTAGTCGATGGAGGAACACAAGCAGTTCGTTCTGTATTTGATGGTAAATATTCACCATCTTCATTGAAAGCCTTCTTAAATGCTTACAAGACAGCACTACAAAAGCTGAGAGGGAAAGTACTGAATAACGAGCAATGGGACAAACTCTATCCACCAAGTGGGAGCGACCCTAAATCTAAAGACTTTGATATCACTTTACTGTTTGTTCTTCTAAGAAATATTTGTGGACTTACACGACCAGCAACTGGATGGGATGTCTTACCACCTGTAGCAGACAACTCACTAGAGGCTAACCTTGCCAGGATAAAGTACTACAGAAACAATACAATAGCACACAAACCAAACACTGACATCAATGATGCTGACTTTGAAAAACACTGGCAAGATATCTCATCTGCTCTTCTATCACTGGGACTTGGTCAAGATGACATAGATGATTTGAAGTCTGCTCCTTTGGGAGTGAAAGACTACAACCAGTTACTCAACGATTGGTATATAGACCTCAAAGACCTCAAGTCAGACACAGTAGACCTCAAGTCAGACACAGCAGACCTCAAGTCAGACAC